ATGCAACAGAGAGTTGAGCCTCAAGAAGTAACATGTCTCGATTTATTATTTGTAACTGTTGGATGGCAATGCATTAAAAAGTATTTCGATCTTTATTGGCATATCCGGTACGTGTCAAACTTTGACAACTTACTTCTAGTGAGCTTTATATTGCGACCCTTTTTTCCTTAGTTGTGTTTTTCTAAGTGGTGTATGTTGGAACTCAGCATCTCTGCCAGGGATGATTTTCTTCCTGAAAGTGACAGGTGATTTGAATTGAGAACGAAATTCGATTTAATTTAATTATTGTGACTGCTGTTTGCTTGTAGTTAGTTTGGTTTTGAAAAACTTGTTATTGTTGTTACAATCACAAATAAACCATCATGATATATATTATGATATTGGGCGAGCTGTATCGAGAGAGAAGTAACGTCAAGGACGTGCGAGTGGAACTTTAATTTCATTCTTCTTGAACCCAGCTTAAGTTAGGGCACCAAACTGGTTTACAGATTGTGCTGAGCTGTGCTTTCTCTTTGGACCTCTTAGTGATATGTCTTTAAAACTAAGTCTAACTAAAGATGATCGTCATTCTGTTTGGCTTTCTTTCTCATATTTGATAGGTGCATTTACCACCAGTATAGAGTATTGGACCACTTTCTTCCCCAGGGATCCCTGCACGGTGGCTGTGATGGCTGTGCAAGGAAAGCGTGTTCCGTTATTTTTCATGCTCTGCTCGACTCTGAACGCAGGTGATTCACAGTATACTTTAATTTAGACGTCTGGGAGAAAAAGTAGGGAAAAAAATATCCGACATTCGGGTGAATTCATCCCATAGGGTTAACAAGGAAAGCAGAGGAGTCCAATAGGACTATATTTGTTTTGTTTTGTTTGTTTTGTTTTAACGACTTTACCGGGTGTGACTAGACCCGGAAGGGTTAGTGCGAGCGGAACACAAGGTCCATGCGAGGCACCACCCCTCCCCCCCAATTCACCCTGGATAGATACAGCACAAAGATAGACCACAACACCGGGCACTACGTGCCCTACTCTTTTCGAGGAGTGTGTGGGTTCTTTAACGTCCCACAAATTAAAATCACATTTAAGGGCTTGTGAGACGGGACCTCTATTTATCGTCCCTATCCGAGAAGACTAGAAAGTCTAACCGTTTGCAGATATTATTACAAAGGCAGCACTTTCTACTCAGTTATTTCCAATTGTGTTCACTCGAAAAGTGCAGCGCAACTGCATCTTGTTGATTGACGCCTAAGACAGGCGATTATGACACGAGTTGAAATCATATCCGCTATGTTCCTTTAATGGTCGGCAAGAGAACCTTTTCGTAGGAGGCACGAAGTGCTAAGAGCGAAGGAAGAAAGAGCCTTCAGTTCTCAATTGA